AACGATAGGACGGCTATTGAAGGGCTTTGAAAATATCTCTCAAACTTATTCAACGATTCAATTGTTATGTTTTTCTTTAAATTTGACTTTAGCTTGTAATAGGCTTTCGTATAACTGCTTAGTCTGGCTAACATTATTTTCAAATGATTTGTTAGTTTCACTCACAATAACAGGCAATTCTTATGATTTATAACTTAAATAAGCATAGCTTAGGAATTACAATTCTATAAGAATTGATATTTTTATTAAATTTCTTAAAAATATTTTTAATATATTATTTAGTTCAATGTCAGAAATACATATCTACACAAAACATAAAATTTTATATAAAATAAGATTTAAACAAAACTATTGAAGAATTTAAAATAAATATTTTATATATGAATCTGTTTGAAGCTAATTTGTAGACCACAATTAAATGTACTAACAAGTAAGATTTTAATTGCACTCATTATAATAATAAAAAATCTAATGTACAGTAAGTATAATTCACGGAATATTCCGAATATACTTCTACAATAAAATAATACAATATGTCATACTGTAAGTTGGCAAATACAGTACAGTATAACTAATACAGTATTCAGTATAATGCAATTGAGACCTCATTAATATTAATATCTGATAATTAATGTCATATTCAAAGTAGTTTCAAGACTTTATATAAAGTTTATAAATAAGTTTAAGTTAAACAAAAATAACTGACAGTAATTATCATAATATTTATAAATTTCAAATTTACTCATAATAGTGTATTTATATAGTAGAACTTAGATTTGAAAATATACATAGATCACCTGATGATTAGAACTTATGATTCATAAGTTATGAACTTGATACTTTATTAAAGGCTACAGTACCTGTAAGATGAACTCACTTTGTCAGTTTGAATAACACTAAAAAACAAATATATAAGGAATCCTTACTAAGGCTAGTGTTTTACTATATGTTTGCCAATAATATCCACTTTAGGTTTACTCTAAAACTTATTCTTATAAACAGAATAATTATTATAATTATTGTACAGAATATCTAAACATTTAATTTGATAATCAGATGGTCATAAAAGGTTGAGTAATGCAGTGATAGGGCGCACAGACTGCGAGAATCACACGTTATTTGTAGGCATTTATGGCAGCATTTGGCTATTGTTTTGGTGTTTTCTTTATACAGTTTTAGTCACCATTTAAAGGATTTTATGATTTCAATCAATTCAAACGACAACACAATCACATCCATCGGTGATCGACAAACACCAACTCACTGTCACTTGACGTGAATCTCGTGGTCACACTTTGAGCCACTCTGCAATTATCTGAAACCATCGAGACTTGTGTCCATCCAATGCGATCCAAGTTTGATATGACTAACCAAATGGTGAGATTGTCTCACTTGAGACGTGTCTTCACTGTGGAGGACACCGATGGTACGGATGAGGACACCGACGACGACGACGACATCCAAGTATTGGTGGCCAACACAGCACAGGGACCGCTCACAGACAGCACATCCAGTCCGGAGTGCCAACCGATTGAGCCGAAGGCCAAACTCGACCCAAAGTTCACTAATTTCACGCTTTTTGTCAAAAGTATTGGTAATATAGACAAGAGATATGTGACGACAGACAACGGATTGATTCCCATCAGCGAAACGATCACAGAATTGGATCAAATGATTAGGTGTCGCGATATGCGCTCATTTGAGGATCTCTTAGACCGCTATAATATTTCTCATTCTCGTGGTGTCGGGGGTAGGGATCAGTCGCTCAGTGGACGCAATGCGAGCACATCTGTGGACAACAGTCACAGCGACTCATCGGTTGTGGCGAAGAAGAAGCGCAAAAAGAAAGGAAAGGCTTCTGCCGATGACGTCGTCACCAGTGGATCCAACGATATGAGTGTCGTATCGCTCAAAGTAGAGGGCATTCAACAGATTAAGTCAAAGAACAGCTTTAAATTCAAGTGTAAAGTCTGTGACATCTCTTTCAATGGTTTCGCCTGTGCTTTGAAGCACAGCACTAGTGATGAACACTCGAAGGTTAGCCCGAAATGGCTCTTAAAGTATACAAATATATGACACTATTTTGTATTGACTTATAGATTAAATTCGGTGATGACTTGAAAGGACTGGACGCCCAGTTCACCATTGATTCACCAAATATTGGTTTGCATTAAATATTATTTCTGAAATGACGTGAAATATACCGTAAGATTAATCCGATTGATAGGTGACTGTGAGGTAGCCATCGCTCGGCGACGAGAGCTCAAGAAAATCAGTTTAACTGATAAACAGGAGTATGTGTCGCACGGAATCAGACTTAAGGATGGCTTCGGGACCGACGCTTATATTTGTTCTGTAATTATCGGTTTTAGTGATAGTTTTTCCGTAATATAAAATTATCTCTAAACATGTTTTGTTGAAATTCTCGACAGACTTGTGATCTGAAGTTCAAATCCATACATGAGGTGAAGGATCACATCGAGAGTTTGGCCGCCGATATCGAAAACACGGAAAACAAACCTGAGTTGAAAGCAGTGGACAATTCTGTGGCACTCTATGTACCGAAATCTCCGCCTTTGGGCCAAACGCTCAGCAAATTAGATTTGAAGCTCAAGAATGAAGGCATAAAAGCGACCGATTCTGGCGTCGACTCCAAATTTTACTGTCTTTTCTGTAACATATACTTCGACTGCAAGAAGACGGCTGTTCTCCACACCAGTGATACTCGACA